GTCATTTGTAAAATGAACCACTATTATAGTTGTTTTAGACTTTTAATGGAATTCCTTCGTTAATTACTTTTTGCATTCCATATGAGGGTTATGAACTGAGAGGATTCTGTTCTGATACATTCCCCAGACAGTAATAAAGGTCTCGGTCTGTGAACATTTTAAATGATCACCGAAATGGACTTACATTGGCAAAAGTTGGAATAACGATTATAATAAAGTCGAATAGTTAATTAAAAAAAAACATTGTACTAGTAATTTTTTTATTTTAGATTCGTATCAGATATTATGAATCTATACATAACATAAATAAGCAAACCTTGATAGATAAAAGTGATAGATAATAATAATTACGTCATTATATTATGTTATGAATTTTGATTAAGTTGAATGGAAAGACGATTTGTATTAAGCGATCAAATAAAAACCATTCTATGTAATTAGAGTATAAGATTCAAGATCGTCTTCACATAGCTGATGTGATACATTGTTTAGATATTAGGAGCCTGTTGAGCGCCGCAACAAGTGCTGCATCGATCAGAGTGACGCAGGACCCTTCCCCGCAACCCCGCGGCCTTCAGCACTACCCCGCCCCGTCGTGCCTGCGGAGTTCGGCCTCAAACGAAACGCACACAAAAACTCGTTGCTCTACGAAATTTGTTCATTATCGATTCGACTACGCACTACGAGCTACGGTCTACGAGTTACGGCTACGAGCTACAGTCATGTTTACCGTTATTTACGATACACAAACGTATGGTGTAATGATAAATGTCAAAAAAAATCACCTAATTCTATACTTCCATCCATATGTAGTTCCCCTCCATTTTGATGGATTTAGAAATAAATTTTTTCTTGGTTTGTTTATTTTTATTCAATATTAAATCTTTATTAATTTGTTCGTGGATTTTTTTTATCTATTCTAGATAGTTACATATATTATTGGTAATTTTTCATACAATTTTAACAAATAACGCGATCTGTCGACGAAACGGGAAGACAGTGGCAGCACTTTTGGCAGGCTTTATAAACAAAACACTGCCTGAAACATTAGAATGTGGAAGTTGAGTTTTCGTTGTTTTCCGCTAGAGGGTGCTTTTTACTTTTACGAACTTTGAAGTTTATCTTTTGTATATTGAAATGATGAAAAATACTTTAGAGCTTAACATTTTGCGTTTCTTGGTAAATTATTGGATATTTATTTTTGTGATATTAAATCATCGAAATAGGTGATATATGTAGTTAAAAAAAGTGTTTTACTCCATAACCACAAATGTTATTAAAAGATGTATATCGTAAATAGGTTAAGTGTTCATTAAGACATCAGATGCCTCAAGTAATCATATAACTTGAGGCTTCTTATATCTTAATTAAGTTTGGTGTTCGATGAAAATGCAATGAAGCCAATGGAAAACTCGTAACTTGATCATATCAGTTCATTGAAGGAAAGTATGAAATTCAATCAAAAATAATGCAATTTATTTTATTTTACGTTACATAATTTCGACAAAGTTTTCATCTCTTTTTAATCGATCACTTTATATATATTTATACGTTTAATTAAAATATTAAAGAAAATGACATGAAAGCAGTGGGAAAAGAACCTTGTGACACTTTTTTTGGTATTGATATTAGGGCGATTTCCTTGTCGGGCAATATATACCGACAAGGATATCTGACATGGCGGGCACAAGTCAAACTAAATTATGACAGCTCACTAGCGCCCCCCTTGTCAATGTCAATGTCAGAGATTATCATAAGATACTCTTTGTACTATAACTTTCTTGTCTTGTCTTTTATTTCATTATCTGTATATATATTCTGACAGAAGCAAACGCGATAGCAGCGCCTCTCTCACCGGTACATCATCCTTGCTTGACTATATGAAATATTAATCAAAATTCATTTGCCCACTGACAGGCTACGCTCAGGGGAATCGTAGCGGTGAGAGATGGAAAAAGGAAAATATGCGAAAGAGACGAATTGCTTTCTTTTTTACATTAATTGTAAAAAAAAAAAAAATTTAGTTTTTTTTTTACAAAAAAGAACCGACTTACATAATCATCTCGGTATAAGTCATGTTTCGACTTGTCAATTGCAAGTGTAGTAAAAACATTGTAAAGATACAGTTGTTTTAAACTAAGCCTGCTCAAGTTCTCAACTATCGTTCTAAGTTACTGAAATTACTGGCCTAAGGTAGTCGGAATAACTTTTATATAGTTTGCGTCTCAAAATGACGTCTGGGAAATAGACCTTGTAGATGAATCTCTTATTGCATTTCCCTTAGCAATCTTCGCTAGTAGTAAAAGCAATATAAAAAGTAATTTTCTAATTTATTCATATTAAACAAGAACTAAAAAAAAATATTATAATATTAGAAAATTAATTATCTTTTGTTCCAGATACTTTAAAAGGTATTATTTTAAATATAATTAATTAATCATATTTATATATTACTTGGTATATACTCGCATGGTTTGTAGATGACATTTGCAGCACATTATATAGGTCGTGGATAGTAATACATATTTTAAAATATAAACATATCTTTTTATATCAGCTTCATTTTTATGTTTACTTGATACTATTATTGATCAATGAGTTGCCGCACCCTTGTATCGTCTTTGCAACAAAAAGCCAGTTTCACACTAAGGTAGAACTGTGATGTAGAGCAGTAGACATTGCAGTACTTTTTATATTGCAGTAATATTTGAACGCACACACTTACTATCAAAGCCTTCTAGACAAAAGAGCACTCGATTTGCGATACTGAAAAGTTTAAATATATATAAAAACAATAGAACTGACAACTTTAGAAATGTAACGTGTTTGTTAAGTTTTTATTTCTATACGTTAAGACGACTCTACAAGCGATATCCCTGATTGAATATGTCTTAAGTGGGGTGTGAATTATAGCACAGTCCTAGTATTTTGTCAGTTCCATATATTACTTTGAAATATCTAATCAAACCTACTTTGTAGGAGGCCGTTTTGTCTCAGCTTGTGAACATTAGCAATACTGTTCTATCTTACTGTACTGCCTGTACTTCCCTCGTGTGAAAGAAGCATAACGTTGTGGCGTAAACATTGGGGAGATTGATTTTGCTGAGGCCCTGTCCTGTATGCACACACGCTGTGTCTATTTGTACTATTACGTTGAAAGCGTTGTTTATTTTCTTATTCTTTAGTGCGGCATATGACACGGGAAGTAGGTCAAATTATTTAAATACTATTGTAATAAAACCTATAATTTCATGTGGTGGGCATATTTTAGTTTGATGATGTGCGATAGTAGAGCTTCGAATAGGTTCTAATGTCTCAAATTCGATGTAGGATATTTTAGTTGGTTCCGATTCCTGATAAAGAATCATTTAATTGCGGTACTAAATCTTTATAAAAATTGCGAAATAAGACTTGGTACGGTAATATTTGGTATGTCCAATACAATTATTCACAATCATTCAAATTATTTGTTTTCGTGTGATTCATGTCACATGTGTTCGGAACGAGTGATATATCAAAGATGTAGATGTAAGGCCTTTACTAATGACGTCATTACTTGTTCTTACGTACACCTACATGACATTCCAAGGCCGTTGTGGAAAATAGAGTTTGTTTCTCTCTTGTAACTACTAACCGTTTACATTGAGGAAACATTCTAACACAAACTTATTGTTATCTCTCTCACTTCTTTTAAGAAAAATGAGATAACAGATCTCAATGGACTCTTCGGCAGTAGAGTGAGTCTCTATTTAGGTTAAGTTAAACATATTTTATTACGTTAAAACAGTTTTGTTATCTAGATGAAACTCCGAATTTGAGGAAAAGGAGTAAGTTCTACAAGATTTACCCTTCGAATCCTTTAGTAAAATAAAAGTAATAAACAACTTTGTCTTTTATATCCCAAAAGTCAAGAAACTTTTCATCGCTCAATATTCAACGGCTTTTTTACCTACGAAGTTAAGGGATATTTTTCATTTATTTTTTAAGCAGTTTTATTATTACGAAATATTCATTATTTCATTAATTTTAAAGCTAATTTAAATATATAATAGTATTATAGAAGGGTAAGAGAAACCCAAGAATGCTTACAGCAGTGTCACTTTTATTTGGCTTTGAAAATTGTCAAAAAAAATTACTTCTTATAAAGTTTAATTTCTATCACTTTTAGTGTTTTTACACGTTTTATTTAAATAAATGGTATAGTGAAAGTTTGACTAGTTATAGCTCTACTGCACAACTTCCTCTTCCATCTTCCATTTTATGACGTTGGAAATAAACGAACTACGAAACGCAACTTCACCGATAATATAATACGATATAATTTTTTTTTAATCTTTAAAGGTGGCATAAGAACAATATTTTTCTAACTGGCCACTATTGTACAAAGATGTATATATTGCCAGATATCTGATTATTAAGACTCAAGAAGAAAGCGACATATCAAAATACTTAAATCTTCAAGATAAACTAACTGTGAAATTCTGCAGTTATGTCGCGTTTTATTTATAATTTTTCGGCAATGAAAACCAAGTTTGAAACAGTGTACTTTATATTATATTTATTAAATTATTTTTTTGTCAAGCGATGACAGAGCTGCTTTTGGGGATAGGCTAGTTGTGAATACAACAAAAAAAAATTACAACAGCTATGTCAAGTTAGGGTGTACATCGGTGTCCTATTTTAGGAAAGATCTGTCATTACGCTTATCTTTATGACCTAAGCATTAATTCGTTCAAGTGTCACGACTGTATTTCGAGCGCTTGTACAATTATAACTTTACGTCACGGATTACCATATTAATTACGTTGACTTGAAGAAAGTCTTCGTTTTAAAGTTTTCTGTGTTTACTAGCGTATTTTTGTGTTAAAATAATTGATGAAGATCATTTATTGTTTAAAAAAAAAAGTTCACAAATTATTATTTAAAGAAAATGAATGTTTCTGAATTGAAGATAACATGTAATCATTTCTAATCTAAATAAGAAATATATTATTACTTACATTTTGTCCCACATCCATTGGTGCCAAAGTGTGGGGCTCAGTTCGCCGTGGTCTCCTCCACATCAAGAGGATGGCTGCAAACAGCAGCACGGTCCCCGCACCACCCATCGCCCCTAGGGCCGCACTCCAGGCGTTGCTGTTCCCACTCCACCTGTCCATTGCCACTCGAGCTTGTGGGCTACCCAGTTCCTTGTCAACTAAAGCAGTAGTGGATTCGACGTTCCAATTTCTCCGATGATCTTTAATGTTTTCAGTGTCCCAAGGTGCCACGCCAAGCTCGCTCCGTTCTCGCCACGGCTTATCTGTCCGATAACAAAATTAGCTACATAGAAATAATGTAACATCGATCCGGCCTCATAGGCAACGACGTAAATTGTGTTAGTTGCTTTTTGTTTTGTGGAAAGTTTTTGATTTTACATCATGTTAGTTCTATAAATATCCCGGGAAATTTACAACCATTGTTACTTACAAAAATAAGACAAGTTACAAAATGTTTTTAATCTAAAATTGCTTCAAACATACATATGACTATACCAAAATGTGTTTCTATTAAAAATGAGGTTCACTATTTATTAAACTTTTTCCTCTCAAATAAATTAAATAATATAAGAACGACTGAAAAGGGTCAAAAAATGCATTGGCAATGTTAATTTACATTAGTATTAAAATAAACTTTGAAGTTGTATTTCACAGACTGTTAAAGAAAATATAATTCCAAGTGACAATCGGGCAACATTATGCAGATTGAAGTGAGTCAAATCACATTTCTACGTCATCCATAAATTAATTCAGCCGTAAAAGCTATAAAAGTTCATAGCCGCAGTGGCCGTTATTACGCGAAATTAAATTGAAAACAACAACACAGATTTTAAAAATGTCATTTGAATTCAAACTTCGACGAAAGAAACTAATATACACTATTAATATTCAATAATTAGACATTTATATACAAAAATACATACCCATTATTTTCTTGTAGTTTCGTTTTTTTTATAACTTTTTAAAATGTTATTTTTATGTGTTGTGTGGGAGACGTGCGTAGTGCGGGGTGGCGCGCGCGACTGTCCGCCGGGCGGCTACGGCGGCCAGGGCGGGCGGCGCTCGTCTTATCATTAGGCCAACTTGTTTACTCCGATCCGAGTCCGTGATCTGTGTCGCGATGTTGACTTTATTGCGACGACATAATTCGCCGCGATGCCTCCGCCTCCACCTCGACGTCGCTATTGCTACGTGTCGCTTCAGTATTGAAACTAAACTGTAGCAAAATTATACTGTAGCTCACTGAATACGGTATTATCTTGAACGTTTTTACTTACATCAATCCAGGGTTTTAAAGTTAAATATATGAAATAGTAAGTAAATTAATTATATCTTTATTTTTTGTTTTTGATATAAAAAGAAACACATACTTTTACGTTAATAAAAAGAAACAAAATTTGAGGAGGCATCATTTTTCTTTATTGCACATAATTGTTTAATAAAGAATACTGGACATTATTAATTTCAAAATACTAATTAATTTTTTAAAAATAAAAATACAAATATTATATTTAAGGCAGGATCACAATACGAATATGAATCATGTTCATTTTTAGAAATGCTACATGGTTGAGCGCACAAACAATTTGGGTCAGCGTTCTTGGGTACAATATCTATATTAGGATTATATATATCTTTCCTGAGACTTGTACATTTACTTTAGAATCTGTTTATCAAACTTTTGTTATCTTCTTCCCTCCAAAAACAAAAAAAAGCACCATAATACAAGATCTTTATTTAAAGTTATATTATTTGAAGAAATATAATTAGATACTTTATATTTGTGCGCAACATAGAGGCTGTTCAAAATCAATTTAGCGATAAATGTGTTACCGTTGAACGGTTTCTCAATTTTCTTTAATAAGTTCGTAAGACTCGTTTATTGGAGGACGTATTTGTTGTTCATAGCCACTACGTGCTCCGTATACCAAGTTTGAAAGCTTTAATAATTATTTGATTTTTATATAACAGCCGTAAACAATAATTAAATAAAAAATCCGACTGATTGTATCACCCTATGAAGAATACGAATCGGATGACACCTCACTCGACAAAATCGGTTCAGAGGCCTAAAGGTCTGTCACAATTGATCTTACACATATGTAAAAGCGTATGTATAATTACATATTTTTATACGCGGAAGAAAATACTATCTCGAGGCATTTAGTTGAAATGGGTATCTCGCACTGAATCTGACCTTCAGTCCGTCAAACCTCACAGAATTCTATGAAATGTAGAATCACTTCTAACTGCTGTTTTCATAAAAAAATTGTGTAATCTTCTTAGAATTTTTAGCTTACCATAATTGAAATTAGGACGGTACATACATGCTGTACTTATATTTTAGTTCAACATTGTTCAAACGAGCTTGTCTATTATTTCTAGGATTAATTTACAAGGTATAAAAACTCATTGACTTTTATAAGTTCATTTCTTTACGTACAATAATGAGTACCTTTGCTGCACAAACGTTTTAGGCAAGAAATAAAACACTGAAATCATTTTTTTTAAACTATTTATTACATTTACATATTTACAATATTTATGTGTAAGCACTCTATGATGTTAAATAATTTGTTTTTTATTCTCATTCGCCATCTATCAAAAGTTCCTACGACTTCCGTCTTTATTTCCAACGAAATGAATAGAGGGCGACAGCTAGTACATCATAATTAAAAAAAAACCTTTTTACAATAACACACGACGAAAAGAATATTAGCGCCATCTATACGGCTTTATAAGTATCATTGGGGTTTTGTCTGAGCATTTTAGTTTAAAAGCACACCAATAGATGGCGCTGCAGAACAATTGACAAAAAAAGTTTTGTTAATCAAAATTTTTAACTGCAAGCAAATCTATCTATACATTTTAATATTAATCCTAATAATGTGCTAGGAAGTAATAGCATTTGTTAATTCTACTTTTATTAAATATTCTAAATTACTATGATTTCTGACTGTCTTCTGTTTTCTTTGCAAATGGAAATTCTTGTTTATATCTTTGGACACCGAGAGTTACAAAAGCTGAAAATAACACAACATTTAAAGATCTTTTTTTACACTATTAACATTTCTTAACTACTTTTCTTTTTTTACACTATTAATAATTCTAAATACAAAACAGAGTTATATTCCAGCAAATATTGTGTTCATATACATAATAAGAAATATATAACTTTAACATTTGACGAACTAAACCATCTTGTGGTTTAGTTCGTCAAAAGTCAATAGCATAGCTTGTCCTAGAACTTACAATATCAATGTTTATATAGTGTAATGTGTTAAATAATACATGTATATAAATATATTGTAACTTCAATATTTGAGACTTTGATAACCTATCCACAACAAAAATGTTACTGCTATAATAGTCTAGGCTATATTATACAACATTACCTAGTGAAATCGTAGAGAATGTTACTTTCCCAATAAATGATTGGTTCTTCCAGGCTACATTTGCTAGGTAAGCCCCGATTCCTATGAGGCCGGCTGCGCCAACAATTCTGCATCCAAGACAATCGCGGGGACGACTGCTAACTGTTGACGTCATAGTTAGATTGATTTCTAAAACTTATTCCTTAAATTTCCTTTTCCTATACAGACAATGTGCCCTTAAATTATGATTTGTGTAATACTAACTTTATTTAAAATGTAAATAACATAACCTCAATTGAATTGTCACTAAACGTCAAAATCATATGGTACATGTACTTTTTCGAAGTGCGAAGATGTAAAAGTCCTTTAAACATTCAGCCAACTATTTAATTGAACTTCATTTAAGCGAATTTATTAAAAATAATAAATAATGATTTTAAAACTTCCTTAGAGTCGCATTGCAAAGTAGTATTTATTGTTAGAAATGGAATGAAATAGGTAAACATATCAGTTTTTCGATGTTTCATCGAGCGGATTATAATTTTATTATCACTGAAGTTAGTGATAGTCACTTATAACATTTATAAATGATCCAATATATAAACCTTGTATATGTACGTAAAATTTTTAGTTTTATTCTATTTCATAAAACTTGACCTATTTTCTAAGACCACTTTATATTGTTGTGACTGAGTCTCGTCTTAACAAACAATAGGCGGTATGCTTCATTCGCTATGTAGTGTCATCAAATCATGGATATGAAATTTGAGTAGCTTTGGAATACGAAATAGCAATGGAATATGGTTACTGTATCCAGAGTAACCTGTATCAGAATACGGTGATAAGCAGATATAAAATGATCGTTGTTGAAATCGGTTTATTCTTCGTACTATGTTATCGAAAATAGTATTGTAACTTTCATGCCAGTAATCCGGAGATGCTTGTTATAGATTTTCATTTGGTGCATTCCTAGCCCATATTTTGCTTCCGCATAATCCTTATATAGCCTTGATTACTACATTTTTAATATTAGTAAGATTTCGTTGATTTAAGTTTTCCAAGGGAATCCCCTACTTTTATAATAAAGTAAGCCGTAAATATTAATTGATATACATAGCATCAGACGGTTTCTTCCCGCTCAAACCGTTATCACTGATGACGCATTGTTTTTTTGACGAGTAATTGTCATGTTCGACCAACGGGGAAATAAAAATTCCCGGCCTTGGGTATTTATGTATTTTATTACTTGATTTATAATATGTACAATTTGTTATATCTATAGCTATACCTAATATTATTTAAAGCACAAGGAAGTATGTGAAAATACACACAAACTATTTACAGACGTAACATATAGAAAACATCCTGTCATCTCATTCTTTCCTCTGAAATAATTCTTATGACAATATGTTTTTGCATTCACATTTCAGAAATCCAGGAGGTAACACAAGTAAAATTTATATAGTGGAAAATATTTTCGAGTTTTTAATAACTTTTTTTTATAAGTTACATGTCTTAGTCACGACAATAGCTACTCACATAAATAATGTGTCACTTTGTCGTACAAGTCTCATTTTGATATGAGACATGTCGCCAGTCAATTTTTAACTACTAATAGTTAAACAAAAATGATACTAATACAAATACTTCATGATAACGTTTAAATTTTGACACTACAGGATGTTTATAATTTTTTCTGTTTATGAACTCGCAAACCTACACATAATACTGTTTTCAATAGTTATAATTTGTCAAAAATACCATGTCTATTTGAAACATAGTGTTTTTTTTAAAACACGGTTCATATTAAGTACGTACATATTTATTGTTAGTAGCATGCAGCACCTTAGATAAAATAAAGGAATACCTAGCCTTTATGAAGTTCTTGTCATTACTTTTAGGTCAATCTAATTTCAACTCTATTTCTCCTGTAATTGTTGATAGTTGTTAAAATTGTGCTCCTTCTTTACGTTATAAAAATTATTATCAATCTATCACAATAAAAAGGTTCCAAAGATAATACAACTGAGAAAGGAATAAATAGGTTTAATGGAAGAAATGCGTAAGACGATGACCATTTTTTCCTGGAATCTGTATAAAAAATACACTAACTCCACATAAGATTAACAGGTACTCGTATAATACATGAGTGACCGGGAATGCAAAATAAAAATACTTTTTTATTTTAAAAGTACTGGTTGGTAATAACCACAAAGTGTCTTCCACATTGTCAACAATGGAGTGTGTTGCACGATCGTGTCGCGGCAGTCTCAAACTGACAGCCGCTCTTTGCGGACCTGAGTTAGGTCATTAGGGCCGTGTCATAATCGTAACGCGCGAAAAAAGTTTTGTTTACAAACGTAATTTTTATGCGAAGTAATGTGTCAGGGATTATTTTTGGCGGGAATAATTGTTTTAAGTGTTGTATGATTTAGAAGACTTCTTTTTGTTTGTTTTAATTGCAAAATAAATATGACTTATGTGTTTTAATTGTTTGCAATGATAAATATAATATGCACGATTTACTTTATTTATGAAGTGATAATGACGTCTTTTAATTAAGTGTTCAGGTAAGTGTGTAATAATGATATTTGTATTCTGATAAGGTTTAAAATTGCTTTTAAAAAAAATAATTTTGTTTTTTTATTTGAAGAGTAATCATGGGCACGGATATGTACGTCTCTGGGCCAAGGGTACCGTGTGACAGTTTCAAATAGAACGGAACCAGTGTCATTCACCTGTTATTTGTTCTATTTATGATTTTTCTAAATAATCTATAGATTGACTATAAATTTATTGTACTAATGGATCATTGGTTGAACACTGGTCTTTATTTCTGGTGACATGTGTTCGATGCTCGATTTGTAACAATAAACATTTTTCTATTCGTATATTCCAAAATATTACACATTACACCTTCGTTAAAATTAGAATATAGGTCAAAAATAACGAATACGAAAACAAGTCAAATAAATCAAGAGAACAATGATAATACCACATGGTCTGCTAAGACTCTATGTCCACTGGCGCGACTAGTTCCAGGACTTTGATCACTATCTTTATATTATTTCGATTGGTGCAGCCCCGACTGTTAAAAACACAATTTCGGTAGAGTTGCAGGCTATTCGCGTTATTGGAAAAGGGGTCTTGAATCGACTTCGTCTCCTTACAATACTCCTTTGTCATTCCAACTACAGTACGTTCAAATGGTGATATTCTTAGTTACGGATGGTCGTATTGTCCCGAACAATGAAGTATTCACTACAACAATTGTCATTTTTAATATTGATTATTCTTTTATTGTTGTTTTGTTTATGAAATGATCTTGGTATTATATTGGATTTCTTTAAATAGGATCATTTTAGAGATGATAATTTTTAAAGAGGTTCGGGTCCTGATAAGGTGAGAATAATTATTATTACGTATTCATCTATTTATCATATTCTTAATATAGTACATTTCATAAAAAAATAAAAAATTATACATAATATATTATATTAAAAAATAGAGCACCACCGGCTGCGGAACCACATGACTCAAACAACCAATGGTCAGTGCTGCAGAGACAGGAACCTTCTCACGATGCGTGCGATTTTACGGGTAACTGCCTTTTGTATCGGGCCCTTAATCCAACTGTTTAGCGAGAGCTACTTGAGATGTTGGTCGAAGCTCTTCGCTATCAGTCAATTCACACATACGACTATCAGAATAATGGTAGTCGATTTCATATGCCACATGTCGGTAACCTCGTGATGATTAAAAAAATATTTGCATCGAGGAATCCATATTCAGAAACTGTCAGATCGGAAACACAGTAGTGATGTTGCAGTTGATAGAAAACCTGTTATAGTTTTCAAAACTATCTTCAAGGCATCGTTCTTGAAAACTGATGATTTAAGAAAACTATCATCAAGATTCGCATGAGTTAACATTGGTTATTTTTTTTATTTTGTTTATATCTTCTATCATCGGTTCAATTTAATTACAACCTTTTGCTATCCATCCAATTCAAAATATCAGCTGTCGAAAGTCTTGAAAAGTAATTATGTAGGTCGTCGATCCCGCTCGCCAATGATTTCAATTAAACTTGTCGTAATTATCTGCAAACAACCTACTTCGTAAGTGTAATTAAATCACAATAAAAGAGGAGCATTTTGTTTATCATTTTTTTAGTTTGTATGGTGTTTGCTCTAAAAAAGGTAATTTCGTAAGTAGTCAGTACACCAAAAAGAATCCCATAAATAAGATAAAACTGAGATTTAGCTCCACAGATAACGGTTGCCAACTGCGTATTCGTCTAAATTAGTCATTGGATTAGTCTTTTTCGTGCTGTTGCTTTACATATCCTTCTCCGATATAAGTGTCTATTATCTGAAATTCTAGAAGTTTAGAGTATGTAAATATCAAAGTTTGACAGGCAACATCACCATGGTGATGATTTATTGATGTCGTTTTTCAAAAACCTAGTTATGTTTTGAATGCAGTATGTAATATTGAAGTAAAAACTTATATCTTTGTCTCCTTGTACTTCGCATTGTTAGTGGCAAGTTGACACAACTGTTATTATGATAAGTTAGCGGTCGTCTGCGACGGTTCTTTTCGACTTATATGAGGATTTATTAATAAGTGGGAAGCCGACGAATTGCATTTATGACAGTGAAAGAAGAGATGTTAACATTATTAGCCTTAGTGGCCTTCCTTGGCCTTAGTGGTTCTTTAACTAACTGGGCTAAAACTATGGCTTGTGTTTTAAAATGTCTCACAAGTCAAGACGATGTTATGTTAGATGTAGCAAGTAATGTTATGAGTCAGTAGTTATTAAGAAAATTAGTGTTACTAATTGTTGTTTAAATACCATGTAATGTAGAAGATAATAGAGTCTAATTGTTGTGTAAAGCGAACATATTACGAACAATATGTACTTGGATAGTATTAACAGTTTTGTTCACTTGAGCTACATTTTAAAGGGGTCAATGACCATTTAACCGTAAACCAATCATTCTAAATCTTTAGGTTTGAAGTTGTTTAATTGATAGCATACCAAATAACTAGACTAAGACAAGTCAAGTCATACCAAATTACTATGCGAAAACTATGACAACTAAAGCATAAATAAGATTGCTAATTGTATTGTATTCTATAGATTGTAAACTGTAATTTGTTTTAATAACATTAGAGAATGTTTAAAAGTGAATTCTGAATTGTTAATCAAACAACATACTCGATTAAATGTTTTATATAAAAGTAACGAGATATGTCACGTGCTAAACATGCAGATTATAAAACATTCAATAGATTCTTTATGATATTTTTTTGTCTTCGAGTTATTGCTTTAACAAAGGAACAATACATCTTCAAGACAATTACTATGATGACATTTAATTCCTACCGGATTAGTCACATTCTTTCTCCCTATTCTAACAAGCCAACAATTAACAAACAATTATTTGATTAAACAAACGAAAAGCGATTATTACAAAGAGAATACATCTGATTGTTCTCTTGTTTTTTTTGCATTAAACAGTCTCCGAAAATATTGAACCGATTTTTTCACTGTTAGGTAGCTACACTATGACCAGGGTGACACTAGTTTTAATTCTCCGCGGAAGAAAGTCGCGAGCAGCTAGTGTTTTGTAAAACTTTACTTGCTTTATCGTAATACAATTAATACAAAAAAATTATCTTAGTAGACAAATAATATTTTATCTACATATTACGAGTGCTTAAAAATAATCTCGTGTCCTGATTACAACAAAGTCAAAATTGTCACGAATAATTTTATTCTCGTGGATTTACTTTGGCGTGGTTTATGAATGATGAGTGATCATAAACTGGATGGATTGCTACTCTGAGGTAAACGTTGCTGCATCATATAGTACAATGTCTTTTGCCAGTTTCCACTGCGGATTTTGTACGAAAACATTCTTTCATCCCACTCATGTCTCTACAAAAATCTGAGATAACAATATAATTGATTACGTGAGTTTTTTCAGTAAACATTTTTGACCAGCCGAATCTGATGACTTACTGAGTACTTGGCTTAATAGGATCAGATTTATGTTGCTAATTTTGTTTTGTCTACACTACACTAACCGAATAAGAAATCAAAGTTGAACTGATAGGAAAGAAATATTTTTCACGAGTATATATGTATGTCCGATTTATTTTCAAGAGTCAGGTGTCATTAGATTATTTCGTTGTGTTTTATGTGCACAATGTGAAGAGGTTGTTGTTTGTTTTACCATAAAATAAATATATGTCATATATTTCCTGTCTTACTAACAAATTCTCCTACTTTCGCTCTCAGTTCGCGCCAGTACACCAACAACACTCCTCCACAGCGCACCACTCGAGGCAGAACTATCGTGATATTGTTTACGAAAAGTGTAGTTTTTTGTTTATAAAAATGAACGAACCGATTTACATCGTACGTTCCGTTATGAGGAATTGTATTGAGTAGTGAAAAAAGTTTTTATGTGAATAAATTCGACCAGTTCTTTGATGTTTAAACTTAAGTTTGAAAAGTGTAAATATTCAGTTGGAAGTGCAAGTGATAATTGTATAAGTGTACGATTAATTAAGGCAGTTAAAATTAATTAATGTAAGTGTTTTGTTGTCTTGTGACTGTATAGATAATATATTTTTTTAATTATCATACTTAATCAGTGTGTTGTATCTGTGCAAACTTGGAGAAAGTTATTGTTATTCATTTTTAATTAAGTATTCAATTAGTTTTTTCGAAATGCGATTTCGATTAATTTAAATTATTTAAATTTGAAAATAACTTAATTAAAATTTGAATTGAAACAAAAAATAAAATAATTATAAGTTCAAGTTAAAAGTTATGTTATATTTTTAAAAATTCATCAATTATTTTAAAGTTCGCGTAGTCAAACATCTTCGATGTTTAATGAACTAGGACAGTTTCGAACCGGTATTGGCAGCAATTACTAGGAATAGATGTGTACTTATGAAGGCTTTAGTTTCAGACATAATTTACTATTCATGACATACAAGAAATACTGTATCTCCTACAATTTATATAAAGGACGTTAAATATTTTGGAACGCAGTGGAGAGCATCATATTAAATTGTTTTTAAATTTAGAACTGAATATAAACTTTTTTCTTTTTTTATCAATATTATATTTTTTTAGATGTCGTTAATGTCGATAATTAAAATAATTAATTTGATTAACTTAAAAAAACTAATTTGACGCGTTAATTTTTAAGGCGGCGGTTTTTAAATGTCTTACGTTTTGTTCCGAGAGAAATAATAACTCTTGTATCGATTCTACCTGTCGTAGTTGATTAAAAGAAGTAAAATAATTATGATACAATTAAATTTTCTTACGTCACAGTTAAGATGGATTTATACAATTTTCACGTTGGCACGCTTCAGTTGTTTTGAGATCAAGGAGAACCAGTTCGGAAGTACAATATAGCCAAAGACATTTTGTTACAATAACTGTAATAGGCAAGATACATAGGGCTAGGCACACTGACTTGCGTAATTTTTTTATTTATTTAGTTGACTTTACACTATTGAAATGTTTGTATGAATACACATTGGCATTTCCTACATTAAAAAACAACAGTATAAGCAATAAATTTTAAAACAAGAGTTAAATTAACATTTTTTAATACAACATACGGCTTGTTTGTTAAATACTTCACAATTACGTACAGACCTAAGTACAATCTTACTTCTTACTAATATTATAAATGCAAATGTTTGGATGGATATTTGGAGGTAACTCCAGAACGGCCTAACGAATCTCAATCTAGGCACAAATTTAGAACGTAGTCTGGAAGATCACATAAGCTACTAATAAAGTTTTTTTTTTATAATCAGTGCGGACGAAGTCGCGGGCAACAGCTCGTAAGTAAAGTTTTCTAAAATAAACGTATAAAACTATACGTTTTATTCCGCTAAATACCCAAAGTGTCTTACATAGCCTAAAATAAAATCTTGTTACTGTTATTGTACGATAAAGGGAACCATTACTTAATCATAACATTAGTCAAGGTTACATTTGTTGGTACAGTTACAGTGTACCCGAGTCTTTACACACCTTTGTGTTTCACTCAGTACTCGATGAATGGCAAATTTTATGTATACTAGTTTGGATAATGGATACTAGTTAGTGAGTTCGCTTTGGTTCCAAACTTTACCTTTAGTTTAATATTCACTTCGTCTCGGGATTTGAACTCCGAGTTGCTCTTGTTCTTAAACTAAATCTTAAAGTTGGTTTATCGAAGAGATTATATTATAAAGATTTTTAAGTAGTTTAACTGAAAATTTGTTTAATGGTTTAGTTAGTTTTGGATTGTTTTGTATTAAGTTTAATTTCTAGCTGGTAATAATATTTTATTTTTTCTTTTTCTTGGCATTCTCTAATAATATCATTTTAATTAATAGTAAATCAGAACTAAGATAATTACATAGCTATGAGGTTAAAATTGCTCAGAAAAAGTATAAAAATAACATCTAAACGGGCAATTTGAAAAATATGAATAATTTACCTTGGTAAAGTGCTCTCGGATCCAACTTGAACGACGACTCTTTGAAGTATTTTAGCGCTTGACTGCGCTGATGAGCAAATCCAATACATAAATACATTTTTTATTTGATTTCTTCTATGATGTGTGATGACCTTTAAGGTTACATTTTTCGACTTAGAAGAATATGAATTTTAAAAACATCATCATCGTTTACTTGCTGGATGTTTTTCTAATTTTTTATTTAACTTGCAATGTATGTAAGTTCAGGAGGAATCTTGAACCTAATTTTGAAGCAAATATCTCCAACCGATTGAGCTGAAAGTTTGCATATATGCGTAAATCTCGTGTTAATATAATATTAATTATTTCTATTTTAAATAAGGCTCATCAGTACTAAATTTAGTATTAAAATTATCTAAATATATATTCTTTAGTCAATTTCAGTTTGTAAGTTGTGCGGGCTTTTTATTCAGTAAACATTCATGGTATTTACAGAAGTTACGAATCCCGGAGGCATGGTTACATTGATAAATGTTTTTATGGTACTAGAGGGAGCAATTGAGATTTATATATTGCAAATAGCCTTAAAAAATTCATTCGACCTTTGATAGATAAAAGTTTTCACCTGTATCTAAAAATAAGACAGCCACTGTTCTCATAATACTTAATAATAATCGTATTTGAGCTATTTTACAACTAGCTGTCGCCCGTAACTCCGTGCGGAAATAAAAAAAAACACATAATTAGTAGTCTATATGTTCTTCCAGACTATGTTCTACATCTATGCCAAATTTCAGCGAGATCTATACAGCCGTTCTTGAGAAACTTTCAAAGAAACATCCATCCATCCATCCATACATTCTCATTTTTAATATTAGTAAGATAAAATAGGTCTCTGCTCGCTGGTAGGGTGTAAAGATTAACTAATTTATTTTCATTGTAAAAATATGTAATAATTAAACATGAAATGATGCGATCAAGCGACAACGTCCAACTGTTTTACATCAATGAGGATGGTGCTCTGGTAATTGTTACGCGAAATAATTGAATTGATCTGTGCCGTGCGTGCTGGATCAATTTCTCACTATGATGTCACTGTTTTACGAGACATTCCATGTGTATTTTGTTGTTCAGCGATAATTTTTATAATATGACGGTGAATTTTATTGACTGTCATATTAATTTTATTTAAAAAAAATAAAATTTATAAAAATCAATAACTCTGAATAAATTCAATTGACGCAAGATAAAAGATAAATCACTTAAAACTCGTCCTGAAAAGACAATTGTTAAACAAAAGTTATCAGTGAAGGCAGTCAGATAGCCAGGAAATGACTAAAAAGAATTTATACAAATTTAACTGTAAATTAAAAACTAGTCGTAAAATAAGTGTCCGATTAAATTGATTAGCAACCATAAACAAACGAAAAGTTTTTCCTCATACAATTTTTTTTAATATTTCTGTAGCATTCTATTATTATGTTAAACCCATTAATTTTACTTAAACATTACACTCACTTTACACCTAAATTTTATAAAATAAAAAAAAATGTGCCAGTTAGAACTATCCTACCCTAATTTAGCAGACGACCCAATTTAAAGGGGCATGACGTCACGTGCGTGGCCCCTGGTGTAGAATTCGTTCAAGTTGCTTCCTTCACGACGTTGCGAAGCGAGCTGACCAGAATCAATAATTATAACACGTAAGGTATCAAAACGAGCGATGTACGTGATCACTTTCTACGTAAATTCAACTTATGTAATGTTGCGCAACGATTGTGATCGTCGACCCAAATATTCGAGTGTAACAAACGCGGTGAACTTTTAAAAAACCGTTGGTTTCTGATATCAAAACCTCTGTATAAAACATATCGTTATAATTGTAATTATCTTTTACAAAACTGAAATAAATATGTTGGTGTAAATATTTATATATGGAGATTTTGATCTCGAAAACCCACGGTAAAACATGCGTTAGTATCTAAAAGCTTTTATAAGCACGGAGCCAGTAATATGTCTTACATTGATTGCACATTTTAAGTTTAATAGTATAACTCTTTGTTGAAGTAACTTCCAATAGTCAGTTATTGGGGTATGTCAAGCGATCAATCGATGATATTAAATGTTTTCCATATGGTAGTCGAGATGATGTAAGCTTTCTCTACATATATTATATTTATTGTTCCTAACCATTTTTGATACCTACTAAATATATGTTTTCTGATGGTGGAAAAAAATATTTCCGATGGTAAAATGATAGAAATCATTTGATGCGGAGATGAAGTTTTGGTATGAAATATATTCTATTAACGTTATTGTATAAAGATACATTGTGATGCGGAAATGAAAGCGCCGAGACACGGTGAGGGACACATTCGTATAGATGAGCTTCATTTGTGATACGGAAATAGGAAATCTGCCAGTGCGTATCTAATGGATCAATCGAGCCCTTTCAATTACTCTTTATTTTATATATGTTACGTGAACAAAAGCTAAGATATATAAGTTAGTTATTTAATTAATGAAACATAAAGTATAGGACCGCAGAGGCAGGCTATAGGCAAGGCAAATGTCTAGCAGTGGTCTGTTGATAATGATAATGATTACGATGATGATGATGATGATGATGATGACTTTTTTTTTCAAATTTTTCTTTAATGGTTTTTATGTATGCGTATAACCATCTCAATGTATTATTTGCTGTCTTATAATGTAAGTATTGTAGTTGACACAATTAATCGTATTTTTTATCAATTACCTTCATTTATTAACGACGATTAGGATTATTTAATATACAATTATCGTTTCCTAAGATATACAACTATCTTAATCTTGATACTGTATAAAATATTCAGTGCGGTGGAGACTCCGCCGCGCGCCGGTGTTCCTATAACTTTAATAGCGTGCGGTGAGTGAACTTAACTTATGATTAACTTGTAACTTAGCTATTTACTTAAGCTAGCTAATAAGACATTTTGACAACTATGACCTGAATAAAGACATATTAAATTCTTCAGATTAGGGACCCTGAAGGGTGTTTATAAATATACTTATGCTGTCGTTATCCATTGCGTTCTTATAACCTTGACCGTTTTGTGGTTCGCTTAGAAAAACAGTATTGTACGTATACGCAATATTACGGTTATTTAAATAAATTGAATAAGCTTTTGGGACGTTATTATGGAGTTTTAGATACTTAATAACTTTAAGAGGATCCTTTACTTCTCTCTTTAAGTTTGTAAACTGATCTTGATGAAATTTGGCAAATGTGTAGAACATAGTCTGAAAAAGAAATAGGCTAGTATTAGTTTTTTCTTAATATAGGGCGGACGGTGTCGCGGGCTATAGCTACTTATTTACAATTTCAACGTTTTATGGTAATTATCTATAACATTTTTAGCTAATCTAAATTCGAAGCGGATTCTAACTTAACTATTCTCGCCTGTATTTTGTTTCATTTGTCTTTTAAATGACCAAGGTATAAAACAAACAAACAGTTAATTTAATAATATATTTATTTTTCAATTTTAATAATTAACAATGGTCATTGTTAGTTATTATAATCAACATTGGTAAGATGATAAGAGAAAAAATGATAAGAGGCAAGACGGGTAAAACGGTGTTCCACAAATTTAATTTTTGCGTAGACTAGTTCTTTTTTCAAATTGCAAAAATTAGTAAGAATGTAGAAACAGACTTTAATTAATATATGATTCGGTTCGGTATATTCAAATAACATGATACGTTAAAGATTATGTTTATGGCTGATTTATTATTTTGGTTATCTTACTTAGTATAAAGAAATTTATGACAACAATTTGGAAGATATGAATGTACTGATAACAATTTGTACTTCGTTTTACGATTATATGTTACAGTTTCAAGATATAGTCGGCGTTATCACAACAGATTATGATAATTTCTTTATTTTACATCTTATAATATTATTGAGCTATAAAATAGTTTTATAATAAATAGTGTAAAATGTAATAATCTGTAAAATAAATAATTAAACAAGATATTTAATTATTTTAATTTAATTAAGACAAAATATTTTATCCATACCTATATCATATTTAAAAGGATGGATTAAAACGTTTTGATACTAAGAAAAATAAAAAACTGGAGATAACTTGGCTTAGGACTTAATTATTTTAAGCTATGTAAAAATAATATGTTTTAGTAGGAACTAAATTTGGAATAACCTTCTTAAAACTTGAATGAATTTTATCTTAGTACATCGACCTAAATAACCTATCGAGGTAAGCGAGTTAGGTTTAGTACTTTTAGCCTAAATTTGTTTACTACCTCCTTACCGGCGTTACGACTTATTTATTAAGATCGACTGTGTTTATGTCTAAGTTTACAACCATTTTGACGACACTTGTTTAACTGGATACAAAATTAGTTACGTGTTCGGAATCCAAAAGTTTTGGAGTTACGAAGTAAACAGATGTATTTTGACTGTATATTTTGTAAAACTATATTTTTAAGTAAAATAAAGGAAAAAATTACTAACAATTTTACTTATTACTAATATTATAAATGCGAATGTTTTGATGGATGTTTGTTTGACGGTATCTCCAGAACGGCTGAACGGATCTCGATGAAATTTGGCATAGATATAGAACATAGTCTAGAAGAACACATAGACTATTTATGTTTTTTTTTAATTCCGCGCTGATAGAGTCGCGATCTACCGCTAGATAACATAAAATAAATGTTCGTCCTTTTTTTATTATTTTAGTATAACAACCTTATTCCGCTACCATATTAGTCAAAAGTTAATTTCGCCGGCCTTGTGCTTTTTGTTCCTCAACCATCTTCGCGTGATTGTAATTGTTGTTACCATGATGATAGTAAATTAAAAAAACAACGCTACAAAATATGGCTGCAGTAAAAGTAAACTTTTTTTTTCAGGTACAATAAGTAGGAAAAATGGCACAAGAAAATAGTAACTCTACATTGGAGATGGGGACCAGTGACCAGGTATTTTTTTTAACTAATATTAAAAATGTAAATGCTTTAAAGCGTCGGTGGCTCAGGGGTCAAGCACTCGACTTGCAATCTGCAGGTCCTGGGTTCGAATCCCGCCATGTACCAATGTGTTTTTCGATTTCCGATTTACATATGTTCATTTATCCGACGTTCTTACGGTGAAGGAAAACATCGTGATGCAACCTGCACATATCTGAGAAGAAATTCAAAGATATGTGTGAAGTCAACCAACCCGCACTTGGCCAGCGTGGTTGACTATGGCCTAATCACCCTTAACTTAGGGTAGGCTCCGAGCCCCTCGGTGGGGACGTATAGTGAGCTGATGATGAAATGCTTTAATGTAATGACTGATAAGTAAACGAGTTACGGTGGTTTCTGAAACCAAAATATCTGTATAAAACTTAACATTATCCCTGTCTTTACGTTTGACAAAACAGAGATGACAATAGTTTTATACGGATATTTTTGACTAGGAAACCCACAGTTAGTGGTTCACATTTAAGCGGTGGCCATAACCTTTCCTTTATTGCTAACATAAAAGAGGTGTAGAGGAAGTAGTCTTTAAGTTTTTAAATTAATCTCACTGGCCAGGCGGATAACAAAAACATTAATTAAAAAACCGTGAAAATAAGTTCAAATATTTGTATGTGAATAGAAATAAGTTTTGTGACATAATTTTATGAAAAAATGAAGTGAATTCAAAATACAACTGCATGAAGAAAGATTAATTACGTTGTATATTTTCTTGCTTAAAAAATATAGGGAAACGAGAATTTATTTAATTATTTTTAAAAATAAATATTAACAATTTAATAGCTGTATTTATTTATATCTTATTTATAAGATTCTAGTGATATAAATCAAGCTTGCGATCGAGTCAATGCTTTGATTTATTCAGCCTTGACTGATTTCCTGGATTCAAAAAAATAGGTGTTACTTACAATTATAACGTTCCTTAAATAACTTGTAACTTAGCCCATTATTTAGAAGTTTAATTATGATAAAAATAAATCACATTTTTTATTTTGTGTTTTTTATACCGGTAATATTTAAAGGCAATGATTGTCAATTATCAATCTTATTGTAGGGGATTAAAGTTTAAATTGTAATGTATTTCTTGTTTCATATCGAGATGAATGTGAGAGTAACAAAGCGAAACGTATTGTAGGCAGAAAATTATCTCAAGTACATGTCTGTTTAAGATTATTCAGTAGCTCGCGGATATTGATACGGAATGTCTCGATATTCGCGTCTGTCCGATTTTGTGTTTTAACTTTGTTATCTGTGAATTGTGTTAATGAATATCGTGTAGTGTAAAATAAGAGGTACACTTGATTATATCATTCAGAGATAATATTAGAACGTTGTTTGTATCAAATGGAATTTTTTAATTTTATGATTACTTTGTCTCAAATAATTGATTGTAAAATTTACTTATAAATGAAATATTCAATTTAAATTTTCGAATTTAAGTTTTAAGATGAATTAAAATATAATCTTAGTATTTAATTTTGAGCCAAAATCACAGGAGTATTTAATAAGTAAGAATTAAAGAATTATATTAAATTTAAAATTAAAATCAGGTACTGGTTGCGACGAAAAAGAAGAAAACATTAACGTATATAATTGGCTTCATCGCGATGGTGGCTGTGATAGCGGTTGTGATAACTCTAGTTGTTGTCCTCTCTGGAAATGAGGCGGGTCCATCGGAACCTATTGTATCGACAACTGAAGGTCCAACATCGCCATTAGATCCATCCACAACAACGACGACAACAACAACAACAACAACACCGCCTGTAGACCCAACAACAACAACGTTAGATCCATCTACAACAACAACAACGACGACGACAACAACCGAAGGACCAATAACTGCACCGCCAGATACGTTACCAATAGATCTAGAGGATATAATTAATGGAGTATTCGCAGCGCCATCTTTCAATGGTACTTGGACAACAGGTATGAGTTTTTTAACTGTAAAGTCTTTCGTTATTTCTTTTTGAAAAAAAAGGTGAGGGTAGATAAGGAAGAGAGATTGAGGATATAGAAAAGTAGTAAATTTGTTTGTCAGTTAGCAAATATTAAATGCAACACTATTTTTTTTATTTACAACAACTGCATAGCATCCTTACAGTACACAACCAATTTGATACTATACTCACTCTACATATTTATTTATATCTTTATGATTTTCCAGCTAATGATGTACTCTTCCGAAACCTTAACGGCGACCTGGTGTTGTACCATGTGGATGCTGACGACACGACCGTTCTTATTTCGAATTCATCACAGGTATGTCAATTTTGGTGTTCGAATTTTAATTATATATTTTATACGTTGCTATACATATTCAAAAAACTCATAACTTCGACTACGTAAACTTAAATAAATATGTATTTAATTTTAAGCGTTCAAATTATATTAAAGTTTTACTATTGAATTAAATCTAAGCTCGTTTTAGTCGCGAGTCGAGGAAATCTATTTACCAATAAACTTCGTCGCGAAACCGCACCGCTGACGAAATTGCAACTACGAACTAGGACAAACCTGTCGACTAATAAACAAACTAACCGTTAAGGAATTGCTAACCAACTACGCCTTGAAAAAACTAAGATATAAGGAGGAGCGTCCCGAAATGTAAATCGGATTGAATAAGTTTGTTAAAGTTTTAGTAATTAGCAAATACATATACTGTTAGATAAAAGTTCTTCTATGTCCTTAAATAATAATCCTGAAATATGAATTCCAGATTCTTCAGCAATCATCAAGAGTAACCGCGCTGTCGTCCGATAGTTCTCATGTGGTGCTGTCTTATAACGTTGTTCCTGTAAGTACACTATTTTTATTCGTGTCGTACTATTTAGTCATCGTTTTTTAATCATTATAAAAGCAATTACGTCTTTTGTATTGTTGCATTTACTATTTCTAATTTATGTGTCAACTTATGTCATAATAATTCAGAGAAACCTTGACCGTATTCGATGTATACAATCCTTAACTATATTCCTGCTAGTATTCCAGCTAGTACAATATAAACATAGTAGTATGTTCGATTGAGATTCATAGCGGAACTTACATTGTCAGGTACGCTCACCGCTGGGCTACAAGGTCGTCAACCTTTTTAAAACGCTCTACCAGGATTAACAAACGATTAATAATTCGTAAAATAACCTGTTGAAGTGTTAATAACTTACATTGTACTAAAGCTTATTCAACGACTTTAATTTGTTGTTAAGGCACTCTTGTTTTCTTTTGAATAACTCGAGCTGCAAGGCATTTATTTCGTGTTGACGCTAAGAACAAAAAAAAGTAAAAGTGTAAAATAAAAAAAAAACTACATATACTAAGATATTTTTAAGTGATTGTAAATTTTTAATGTTACCGACAACCATTTGAAGCCGCTAAAGCTAAAAAAGCGAAATCCTTTCCGTAATAATTAAATCAATAGAAACTCAGAAAAGTATCGAACCTTCAGTTCTTATTCTTAAAAGTATTATGAATTCTTAATTCTGTAAAAAAGTAGGCCATATTTAAATTAAAATTATTATCGATTTTAAACACATAAAAACAAGACAAATGAAAATTTAATCATTGAAATTAATACATATAACCTACTTGTACATACAATTGTTGTACAAGTATGTGATAGTATAAGAAATTCTACTCGACATTTGTTTAGGACGGAAGTATTTAAGATAACACGTTTCGGTCCGTGGCTCAATATAACTCAGAGGTAGACATTTAATGATACACTTTATATTCACGCAGCCTCCGGCAATCACGATTGTTGATAGCGCTTTACGAGTACGTTTTGTAAAAGGTTTTCTACCTCCTACATTGTTCTTATTGTGTTCATATTACATATTATATAAATGTAACTTATGGCTAAAGAGACGACACCTTTGCCGGAGGAAACTCTTAAATTTTTTTATAAAAATAAAAAGCATTATTATAAATTTTGCTACGTAAAATTGTCAAGAGTCAGTCGCTTAACTGATATTAAGTTATTATTATAATAAAAAAATAGCATCTGCACTAATAATAGTACGTGCCTGAGTTAATTACGTTTTAGTTAAACAAGAATTTTCATAAAAAAAATAATGTTACTTACTTTTCAAATCCTAAAGGTATGTTAAGCCTTCGATACCGTGCAGTAATAAAACGCTTCTATTAAGTCACGGAAGTCAATACAATGGCTTATTTGTATGCTAACTGTAGAATTGTTCGTTGTTGGCGCATGTAAACTACGACAGTTCCAATTCCATATGTGATTTAGATTCGTAACCCTCAAGAGGGGAATAGACGTATGTTTTCAATAGATGTCACAATTACGTCTCTACATTTTGAATCTTCCCTATATATCCATAAACAATTCTCTGTCCATTTGTGCAGAAGAAATGCACTCTACCTCAATAACATATTCGATTTGATCTTTGCCAAAGTTTTTCTCGTGATCTTCAGGAACTTTTTGCCGATACATTTTAGTTCTTCTAATCAAAGTTCAGTAAACTACGTGATCATCATCATCATCTCATCCTTATCTAACTCACGTACACAACGAACTCTAAATAATTTGTTAATACCCATCATAAACGTCATTGCATTTATAAAACGAATTGTTCAAACTTATTTTCAGGTGTATAGATACAGTTTCCTGGGGCGCTATGCCGCAGTCAATATCTCTTCTGGCCAAGCTATTGATATAGTGCCACCTGGTGTCCGTCCTGAAGAAGCATTCCTACAGAACTTCGTGTGGGGTCCTTCGGGAACATCCCTAGCGTTCGTTTACCGCAATAATATTTACTACCAAGCTTCATTGGACAGTCAACCACAGCAAATCACAAACAACGGAGAAGTTAATGTTATTTATAATGGTATACCGGATTGGGTTTATGAAGGTTTGTATTCTTTACTGCTTAATTTCGTTTACAATATCCTGTCAGTATGCAGTCGGAAGGTCTGACATTAATTTATAAAATCTCAATCAGTTTTAACTACATTTATTGGTCTATTTCATTGTTTATATTAACCCTTTCCCTTACATAACAACGTACACTGCACTTTTAATTCATCTGACCATTTAAGTAATTATAACACTTACGTATTTCTTTCTTTATTTCCTATTAACAACTTTGACATTATTTCCAGAGGAGGTGTTCGTATCTAACAACGCGCTGTGGTTCGCCCGCGACGGCAGCAAGCTGGCGTACGCAACGTTTGACGACACCAACGTGCGCGTCATGAAAGTGCCGCACTTCGGCGTGCCCGGATCCGTCGACTATCAATACACGCAGCACCATGAGATCAGATATCCGAAGGTACACTTAAGCTTTGAAAAGCTATTTGTAAACCAGTAGGTTTAAACATAGAATCAGCTATATTTTAAGAATTACTCATATACATTTTGGCCTTATCAAACAAGTCAATCTAAGAATGACTTTATAATTATAGTAAACTCAAATTTAATTGTGATCCTAAGTTCTTTTCTGATTGTAATGGATATGAGGTTGAGTTACATACTATGCCTGACGATTAGTGATAAGTTTAGCACAACTAAAATTATCATTATATTATATGTTTGAAATTAGCAGTACTGAGAATCACATAGTGGTCTCCTTGGTCTTCTCTTTTACCTCATATATAATAAGAAAATTTAAAAACTAATTTTAAGTGTCTATTAAATAGATTCTACAAGTGATTACTAAAGTTAACGGAACGCGGCTTATCTTGTTTAGTAGCGTGTTCGATTTACTTCACTTTTACGTGGATTCCAGTTTTTTAGTTCGCTCGTAAGTTTTTGCTGCAGTCAGTGAGAGTTAATGCCGGATATTACGAGCTCATTGCGTCATAACCTGTTTCGTCACAAGTTTATAGGAGTACAAGATGTTTATATGTGTTTGTAAGGATTATGTAAGATGCGATGATTATTTACGTAAATAAAAAGCGATTATTTTTAAAGTAAATACAGATTCGATCGCTTCGTATAATTAAAGATGTTGATTGAAATAAATAAAATTATTTTATTCCTATAACTATTACTGAAGTACTAATTTTTAAAAAGACAAGGCAATTAGACAAATAAGTCTTTAATAGTAGTACTTACATTCTCAATATTGATAAATACACGGTTTGGTTGGACAATATCACGATATGTTGAGCAAACTAACTTATACAAATATGGTGTGCGACATACTTATTGTAACCAATTATTTTATAAAGATTTTTAGGAAAACAATATTCCTATTTTCAGCCGGGCACCACTAATCCAACCGTACGAGTGACGCTACGTGACATTGCATCAGGAACGGAGACAGTGTACAATGCACCCACTGACTTGAACGAGTAAGTATACTATGAACAAACGAAACAAAATTGTCTTATAATTTTTTTTGCGCCAAACATCGTATTCCAGTTAGATTGGCCGATACCTGATCACTATCCGTAAAAATAACACAACAAAAGTAGATAAATCACTATGTTTAATATACTTTTTTTCTCCAAGGCCTATTTTGAAGACCGTTAACTTCGTCGACAACGACAAAATTGCTTTGATGTGGACAAACCGTGCTCAGACTTCGCTGCAAGTTGAACTTTGCATGCAAAACGAGACCTCATGCTCTAGGGTACGATTTTTTTATAAAAAAAATATTTTATTTGCTTTAAATTGGCATGTACAGCTTCACTGAATAAGGGTGAAGCAGAAGATATCTTCATAAATTTACTATAAAACATAGTTCTTATATAGCCTATGATAAAGTTTATTCTATTTTCCAGATCTACCAATATTCGGAACCTAATGGTTGGATTGATAACATTCCTATCTTCTTCAACGAAGCCGGTAACTCGTTTATAACCATCCTACCTCAGGTTTGTAATTTCATCCTCCTTTTTGTCTATGCTATTTCCCTATTTGATTTATTCGCTCTACTGTAAATATTCCTGGCCAGATCTTTTTTTGGCCTAATGCGATCCGGCCCATATGCGGTTCGGTGGGGCCATGAGTGGTTGTGGGTCAAAGTGTACTGTATATGTTCGTGGTTATTAAGATATTTTTGTTTCTAATTGCAGTCTGTTAACGGTACTCTATACAAGCAAATAGTACAAGTATCAGATGTGAACGCCAACCAGTGGACGGGCACCGGCCGCACCAACACGCCGCACACTGTCATCGAAATTCTATTGTGGACCAACAATGATGTTGTGTAAGTAAATTTATTTTCAAATAATATTAAATACATCACCAACCTGGTTATAAGTAGGATTTACTATTACTTGGAGTACAAAATCAAAGTTGAGGGAAGAAAGAGGTAGGGAAATCAGAAAAAATTGGTGATTTTTTGGCAATCGCTGCTTCGTCACCTTTCTTGTCGTTACTCCAATGCTGCTGTGATTATATTACTCATGGTTATGAAAATACTCCATGTGACTCTTGGACTTTCCAGTTGGTACAAAGCTACCCATGTGGACGACTCAGCGGAGCAGCACATCTACACAGTGAACGCAGCACGTGAGGTGACGTGCTTCACGTGCAGCATAGCGCGCGCGGATGGCGGGCAGTGCCTCTACAACGACGCTTTCATCAGCGCCGACACATCACGAGTGGCCATCAACTGCGCCGGTCCTAGTCTGCCCCAGATATTTATTTACGACGTGGTAAGAAACTGAAGAAAGAGGCTGATAGGAATAACAAACATAGACATATGGAATCCTTACGGCATACATTTTTTTTTAAATTCTTAAGCTGTGAACAGTTTATTACCTTACATTCTATATTCCGACATGCACTAAACAATGTATACGATTTTTTTCAAATTTAAAAAAAAAACTTGCAATGTCTTTTCAGAACGGTACAATGCTCAAAACGTGGGACGACAACGCGGAGACATCTGCTCTGCTGACGGACCGTCAGTTGCCGGTCACGCTGAGAATGAGCGTGCCTGTCGCGGCTGGATTCCCCGAGGCCGACGTACAAATACAAGCGCCGTCCGACTACCTTTCACGCACAAATGTTCCTTTATTAGTTTACGTGTAAGTTCAATCGACCAGACTGTGACTTAGTTTTCAGCAGATAATAAGTACTAAATTATTAGTATCTTTATCATAGAATGTACTCACTATGTAATGAATCATGGTTTGTTCGTTTATAGGTACGGTGGTCCCGACACTGCGTTAGTGACGAAGCAATGGACGCTGGACTGGGGCACATCCCTCGTCAACAGGTGGGGTATCGCGGTAGCGCACATCGACGGCCGCGGCTCCGGTCTGCGGGGCATCGACAACATGTTTGCTATCAACCGACGATTGGGAACTGACGAGATTGATGATCAGGTTTCCGTCACAAGGTACGCCAGAAATATAAAAAGTTAGACAAGGGACTGTCACACATACACAGACTTATTACAGATTGTCTTAGCTTTTTTTTTCCGCCTATATAGGATGTTGCAATGGACGCCAAGATCCTCAAAGTATTTACACATTTTCCAACCAACCGCTTCTGCGTAAAATATGTGTGAGGGTTGGATGAATGATATTAAAAGAAATTTAAAATCCTGGCTAAGAAATATCAGAGAGTGGATCAATATTTATAGTAGATTCTGGCGCAAGATTCTGACATATACGCTTAGGTGACGAGTCATTAGAAGAAGAATGTGTTTTTTTTTTCAGGACACTCCATCAGACGCTACCGTGGCTGGACAGCAACCGGACTTGCATCTGGGGCTGGTCGTATGGCGGGTACGCGGCTTCCCTGGCGTTGGCGCGTGGCGCTGATGTCTTCCGTTGTGCCGCCGCCGTAGCGCCCGTCGTCGACTGGAGATTCTATGGCAAGTGTCCCGTCACGTATTCAAGTTCATTCACTTAAATATACTTAGTTATATTATAGTTACACATTTCATTAAATATACTTAGTTAAAGCAAAACATTTGAGCAAACTGTGAGCATATGAGCTTATTTGAGCAAATAATCACTAGATTAGATACTAAAGTAAAAAATGGTAGTAAATCTCGGCGTAGACACAATACAAAATGGGAAATATATGACATATTAAAATAAAAAAAATAATTTTGGCTTTTGTCATTTTTCAGATACAATTTATACCGAAAGATACATGGACACGCCACAGAATAATCCTCAAGCTTACCTTAATTCATCACTTCTCACCCCAGAAGTGGTAAGTATAATTTACAATAAAGATATATTACAGTGGTAGAGCCCGCTTTAACATCTTCGCATGATTTGTCCCGGCTCGCCCGGTGTAATACCACGACCACACAGAAGACAGGCCTCAAGTGGAAGCAATTCCAAGTACTGTCTGATGAGTGTGCGTCCCGGAGGCCTTATATAGTCCTCTTTCCCTTCCCATCCTCTTTCTTATAAGGAAAGGATGGGAAGTGGAAGTGGACTTTCCGGATGAGAGGATGCATGGTAAGGGAAAATATCTGTGCATCCTCTCCTCCGTCGATTAAAGGTAGGCAACACATATGCAATAGCGTTAGTCTGTGGGCAACGGTCACCTCACTATTTCAGCAATTTCAGGTGGCCGCTCGCTCGTTTGCCACCTTATGATATAAAAAAATAAGATATTATATAAAATATAATATTGACTCTAGTCAAGTAGCTCGAGCTATGTTAGGTTTTCTACAAAAGACTTTATTGGTCAAAGGATTTTTTTTCAGTAGGTTTTAAGTTTCTTTTAGAACAAACTTTTTCGATATGAATAAAAACCTTAGCTTAGAGGGATGATATTGTAGAGACATCGAATGTTGCATTCCAGGTGTCAGCGTACCGCAGCAAGCGCTATTTCCTGATTCACGGTACGGCGGACGACAACGTGCACTACCAGCACGCTATGCTCATCTCCCGTCTGCTGCAGCGCGAGGATGTCTACTTCACGCAAATGGTACTACATATTTACATTAGTAACTGCCACAATCAGATATTTTTTTTACGTTTTTATGAACAGTATTAACAGATAGTTTGCAAATCATTGGTTTTGAAATTTTGGCTTGTACATATGCTTCACGACGGCAGTCGCATCGCGGGAATCGAATCCACGATCGCGTTATCGATAATCCTATAAGATTATTAGCATTGCAAGAGTAGCTTTATGTTCAAAGACAAAACTATACTAAAAACTCTTAGTAATTTAGTCGAAAATCTGAATGTTTGTCATTTCACTATGACTTTATTATATTTTTTAGTAGTAAATAGAGGAAATAGCTTTAAATTCTGTATGAAAATCCAATCAATACATTATTAACTAACACGACTAATCTAACACTAAACATAAACGAATGTATACTAGATAAATTAATAATTGTTATTGTATTTCAGAGCTACACTGACGAAGATCACGGATTGGTCGGTGTCAGACCGCATCTTTATCACGCGTTAGAGAAATTCTTACAAGAAAACATGCTGTAAAAATACAGCAGAAATTAAAAGATCAAATCAGTGCTAATATCAATTATAAAAATCTTTAAATATATACGTAATTAAAATAATTGTCAATACGTCTACTTGAAGACGAGTCTTTTACTTTGATGACATGATGTTTTGTGGTACAAATTACTTATCGACAATTTATAGTATAAGACTATGTTACTTGTGAAAATACATATTTTATTATTTAAGAGTTGTGTGGATGTCATATGTCATGTAGTTATAACAAATGTCTTTGTAAGATATATTTGATTAATGACCGTTTTCACTGGCCGTAGGCAATCGCATTAGTACCTCAGTATTATGAACTTGATTCTTGCGCAAAAATTAGTGAAAACGGGAGTTACAACGTTACTTAATTGTTGCCAAATCGAAGCAGTACGTTACAGGGTTGATTATTCGTTTAAATATTTATGTTCATCGCGACTTATGCAATAAATACAACTACAAGACGTTGTAAGATGGCCAAGAGTTTTATGTAAATATTTTTTCTAGATATTTTAAGTGACAAATATCTTAATAAATTTGTTTTCTACAAAAAGATGTCTTTCCTTTTTTAATTATCACTGGACACATTTATATATAAGACTAGCGGCCCCGACAGACGTTGTCCTGTCTACACGTCTTTTATTTGAATAAATTAATATGAAGTTAATATTTGATGAAAATTGTGAATCTAAACCATTCCCAGATCCCCTTGAACACACACAAAAAATTTCATCAAAATCGGTCCAGTCGTTTGAGAGAAGTTCAGTGACATACACACTCAGAAGAATTATTATATATAAAGATTAGAAAATTACAAACATAGTTTTCTAAGATGAATACAAATATTTAAATCTAAGTACTAAATTGCTTTAAGAATTAACACTAAACTTAAGTCCGTGGAGTCTGCCTACCCCTTTCAGTTAAGAGCGTTATAATGTAGTAAATTGTTTCAACCAGGACTTACGAAAAATAGAGACGAATTGATAACCTCTTTCGTTTTGGAGTCGGCTAAAAAGTAGTTTTACAATATTAAATCTTTCAATTTGATTATTTTCAAAAAGCTCACCTAATGTAACATGCTTTTAGAATATATAGAGTTTAGTATATAAGAAATTTCAATTCCCTGCCCAATTTGTGTTTCTCGCATGGAGACATTTATATGTAAAATAGGAAATTTTTGTTTGCAAGAAAACGTCGCAATACGTCGATACGCAATACAAGTGGGATCCATCGTTTCTCATTTTCGTTTCCTATTACCAAACAAAGTGTATTGATACAAGGGATAGTGACACACGGCCCACACTTACAGCGTACATATTCTCTTCTTAAAAACGTTAGAAACAGATTGTCATATACTCGCAAAATCGTTCAAAACTACTTCTTTCAGGTCAGAAATCCACTGGGGTTTTTAAGGACAATTGAGTATAATTGTTTTTTGGATTAATGAGTAAAACATTCTCGAATTTATTTTTATTCTTCTTATGACTTATTTATAATTTATTTTTATACTTGGGAAAAGAAAGAATGTGACGTAGCATCCGTTACACTACATTCTTTCTTTTCCTAAATCCCTAATCTTATGTTCTTTGTAAATAAATATTAACAAATTAACATTGTGTAAGGCGTGCTTGCTCTTTAGCCTTTGTTCAGTAACCGTCGTGCCGTGTGGCACAGGCTATGAGTACTGTTTGCGTGGAATGTTTTCGGCATCCTGTTACCGAAGCAAACATGTTTTACCGACATGGGTTCGGTACGAGAGCACTTCGACGTTCGTAACACTTTCGTACTTTTTCCTTTAGTATTATCTGATGTTCTCTTGTTGTGGAAAATATGTTGTGGTTTCTCGAGCGTTGTACAAACGTCGTCCTTTTGAAACTTTTTAAATCTTACCTTTTTCTTCTAGCTTAAGTTGGGATGTTTTTGTTTTGTAAAGCGGTTGAATTCTCGAGTTATGATGTAATAGCTTCTTGACTACAAGATTGATTAAGATTCAGTTAATTGAAAATAAAGGTACTATCTACTCAGCCATAAGTAGCCCACTGCTAGGCATAGGCCAATAAAGGTACTGTAAGAGTTTAAATAATAATTTTGATGAAATGTTACGAATGAAGCAGTAGATTTTATGTAGTTAAATACTCGATTGGAATTATAACATAGATTAAAGCGTTGTCGACACGAAAGCTCGGGAAGACTTGAAAAATGTAAACACAATTAAAATAGACATGAAATAGCCCCCTAGTATCGAATACAATAAAATAATAGACTTTCGATAACGATATTATAAGGACAAAGTACCTAACACCAATACCAGGTGAAGGATGTTTAATGTTTCCGAATATATAATTGGTAATAAGATAGGAAGTAATTCTTTTATAAATATTTCAAACTTTTATGATATAATATCGTAAAATTCAAGATTAACTTTAGTCACAGCATTATAAAGAAAGAGAAATAAACTTTGAACATTTAATATCTAGGAATATCTTCTGTCAAATCAGATATAACGTAAGAAAATGCCGCCAAAAAAGCAGCACATTGTACAACATCGTCTTTGTTCTGTACATCCATTGTGTCCGCATTACTGTGATGATACCAAAAATATCTTTCATTTTTATTCAACAATGAAGCACCCGGTACACCTTTACTATTAAAAATTGTTATATCTGACCCAACAGTTGAGCTTACTTTCAATTTATCAATTGGCTTAAATAATTTTAATACTTCAGCTACAATACAAACAGCATTTTGTGATCCTGATACATCCAAGCCCAAAGGTTTAAATGTTCCTTCATCTGATTCCATGATGAAATTAATATTATTCAATTCATTTACATGTCTATTTAGATATTCAAAAGCACCAACAAGTCCGGGTTCCTCTGATGTCCACAGAATCGCACGAAGTGTCCTTCGAGGTTTCAATTTTAATTTATTTATAATAATAGGTGCATACCAACTGATAAACATACCACCACCATCGTCCATAGCACCCTGACCTACATCCCAACTATCAATATGACCTGATACTATGACTAGTTTTTCACGTTCTTCACTTCCTTTTAAATCTATTAAAGTATTTCTAGAAGTTTTGTAATCCAGTGTACTGGTCATATTTATACTCATTACTATAGTAACACCTCTATCTTGGAGTCTTCTTAATAAATCAGCGTCTTCGTGAGTTATGGCTGCAGTAGGTATTTTTGTCACGTTATTACCATAATCTTGTGAACCCGTGTGAGTTGTGTACAATGAAAATGGCGTAACACTTCTTATCAGTGATACAACGGCTCCTTTTTCTGCAGCCTTTGTTGCACCTTCTACTCTATAAGCAACTGTTTCTCCATACGAAGTGTAATGAGCATCGAATACAACAATTTTACCTTCAACATTTGATTCTTTGATTTCGTTTAGTTCATTAAAACTTCGTATAACAATAACTTCAGCTGTAATACCACCAGATGGAGTACCAACACTGGAACCTAGTCCTAGAATAGCTATTGGTTTTATTCTAGGTTTGATCATCATTGCCGTTTCTGATCCACGAACCCAGTGTGGACACTGAAAAAATCATTAAAGGGGATGTTAAAATATTACAGCGTTGTAGAATAGATACAAAGATAATGATATCCATTTCAATAAATAATATGAACGACAAGTCTCACCTAAGTAATCTTTTAATAAGTGTGTCTATCTTCTATTGTGCGACTACAGTACTTTACAGTGGTTTGCGAAACGCAAAAATGGATATGAGTTTTTTTTATAAATACAGTATTTAAATTAAAGAGATGCGTAAAATTAAAACTAAAAAGAAGAAGTAATTCATAATTACCAGTACATCTTCAGTGGTAACCGTTTCTAGTCCGTTGCTTTTCGTCAAATTTATCATATAGTCTATCGCTTCCTCTAACACGATTGAACCAGCGGGTCGCGCTCCAAATTTATCAATGAAGTTTGCGTATCTGAAAGGTCACATATTATTTAATATTTGTTATATTTAAGCAAACAATATATTTAGATTAAATTTGAAAGGAGTTAGATGTTCAATTGTTTTATTTTTTGACTTTTATAAACCACTTTTCTCAGATTGGGTCGTTGTGCAATCTCAAAGCACGATAGAGCCATGTAGTGAATTATTGTTAATTGCAATTATCACTTTGATTTATTTTTTAGTACTTGTTATGTATAATACATCTCAAGTAAATAATAATGCGACAAAACAAATATAGTACTTACTCATTGTAAAATGTGTCACCATTGTTTACTACTTCATTCATTATTGTCTTCGTAATATTCTTATACGAAGCTATTTCTTGTACTAATTTTGGATTTAAAACACAATCACTGATATCATATTTATTTACTGTCATATAAGAATAGACTAAATACTGTGTAAATATTAAAATTGTAAATAGAAGAGTCGTCATTTCGACGCATTTACTTTACGATTATCGTAACACAACTAGACTCCGAGTTTTATCGACTTTGTAATGGACCAATTTGGAGCATAGGTCAAAGAGTTGAAAGTAAGTATAAAGGAGATAGATAGATTTGAGGTTTTTAAAATAATTACTTTAGTTTATTGAACGAATTTTTCCTTTGTTTAAATCACGGGTCCAATATAAAATAATTCGTAATATATAAGAGAAATAATGATTGTTAATTAATTTTATTGCAAGATATAACAAAACAAATTTCATTTCTTAACAGCGGTAGAGCCCGCTTTAACATTGCACGAGTTGGCCCGGCTCCCCCGGTGAAATACTACGACCACACAGAACACAGGCGTGAAGTGGAAGCAATTCCGCGTTTCGTCTGATGAGTGTGCGTCCCGGAGGCCTAATTTAGTCCTCTTTCCCTTCCCACCCATTTTGGAAATGGACATTCCGGATGAGAGGATGCATGGAAAGGGAAAATATTTTCTTTCTGTGCATCCTCTCCTCCGTCGATTAAAAGTCGGCAACGCATATGAAATTGCGTATATATTTATGGGCAACGGTCACTTCGCTATTTCAGCGATTTCAGGTGGCCGCTCGCTCGTTTGCCACCTTATGATATAAAAAAAATATATTATGAATCCATGAAATTGTTCTTATCACTAGATGTGATAAGTTGTACTCGAGATCGTACGTAATATCTCAAACTCTCTTATGACTATCGACTATTCAACTGGTACAAGGATGAATACAATACTTAGAGGTAGCAAATGATACGTGTGATATATTGTAACCACATCCAGTGTAACGATGCGGTCGAAAACATGTTCCGATCTCTATTTTTTCAGCGAAAGCTCTTTTAGAATATGCGTTTAAGTAGTGGAAACATACCACTAAACACAAGATTGATCCTGAACGAAGAAATTCACAATATAAGAAAAGAGACACGGGAAAAAGAGAGAACAAATCAAGGAAGGTTCACTAGAATAACCTTAACATCAATGTCGTCTTCTAAACTGGACGTTATTTTCCCTATGAATATAGTATGGTGTTCAATAAGCGACAGAAAATTATCAGTTATCCTTTAGTTAAAAGGATAACTTCAAGGTGTGTAACGATTTTAGTACACTAACAAGTTGTACGCATTTCTATTAGGTCTCTGGAATAATAAAAAGATAAAATCTGTTACATTTTGACGACACAATATTTTAATAGCAGCAATTGGAACTTAATAAAACAGATAAAGCATGTAAACTCTGTTTAGTTCAAAGGTAGTTGGTTAGTTAGATGTAAATACAAACATTGAATTGCATTGGGTTGAATATGTAGGTGCGACAACGGATGAGGGCTATTGGAGTTGCCGCACTGATTGCTCTGTAATCATCATTACACGTATTACAGTTGTATTTGACGAGGCTGTAGCATTTCGGAATTTGGTTTTCCATATATTGTTTGATGTTCTCCGTATTTATATAGGTATTTATTTGATTTTTTACAAGCCTAGGACGTTTAAAATGACGTAATTCTTTTATTAATAAACTTTAACATCATAATTATTTATCTTTTGTAATGTGCAAAATGATTTTAACTTGTGTGTCGTCAAACATGTAAAGGCGGTGCATTTTTTTCAATTTGTAAAAACCATAGTCTCGAATATTGAAGAATTCCAATCATTGTTTGTGTATTGATATTTTTATTAACCTTTTAGTATGATGGTACGAGATTAATCCTTATGTTCATTTTGTATAGTATACCATACTTACGAGTCGTACAACTTTATAAAAATATACGATCACTATAAAATAATTTTTAACTTAGTTTTTTTTTTAACTTTGTTTTTTTTTTGCTTTTCTTCAAAAAAAGAAATCTTGTCACAATAAGGGTTAAAGAAAGCAAAGATAAGTAGAAAAATACAAGCTAGAATAATTATGAAGAAAAAAACAGAGTGATAATATTTTTACATACAAATGATAGCATATTTCATTGTTTACTTTTTTCATATGTGTTGCTTTTATTTTTTATATATGTAAGTAAAGACGTACTTAGTATAAATATTATTTTTATTGAGTATTGTTTGTTTTAACTGCGTCTTCAAAGAAATATTTTTCATTCACGCTGGCGATACATGTCCTATTTAGAATTTTATTGGTCAACAATGGTCGATTGAGGATATGGTCTCTTCGTATCACTCGTTTATAAACATACAATGAGTACAGACGTAACTATACAAATAACCTTATAAAATCAACATCTAAAAGTATTTTAATAATGCATTTTGTATTAAAAGCGTTTGTATTTTTAATTTTCTTGAACAGTTTACATTGCGCTGTGGTGAAAAGGAAAACTTATTCGGAGTTGAGGTCTTGTGATATTGGTGGTTTGGCAGATGAAATTGCTTCCTATGATACTGTCGTCAAAGATATTATCGAATACGTCTCCGGGCCGTTCAAGGGGAAGACATACGATGAGTAAGTGCCCTTAGCTATTTAAGATCGATTGTCAAGGGATGTGTGATATTTCATCTTTGTGTTTTGTTTTGTGATAAAGTTTGAGGTCTTTTCTTTCTTTCTTGGTATTGTTCCTTTTGAATAAAGTAATAGATAAGATAAAAATACCGCTGTTTTGAAAGAAAAGAAAATCCATTAACTAATTTGTACGATTTATCGTGGGTTTCTGAGACCAAAATCTCTGTGTAAAACATATTATTATCCCTGTTATTGTCATCTTCTTTGACAATAGATAGCTAATAACATGTATTAAATGGCAATTTTAGCCTAAGAAACCCATGGTTAGTAGATATATTGCTGCAGAATTTTATGTTTTTTGTTCTTTAATGTTCGTTTATATATGTAAATACACATACTCGAGATTAAATTTACTATCTCGCGTAATGCTTAAATATTGAAATGTAGCATTCAAGAATGAATTGATAAGTCAGACATGACAATCTATATCTTCTTGTGCAGATACTTCTTATCAATATCAGCTTAAATAGGACTTGTATCTTACAAAACATTAGTCTACAATAAACGTCTGAAAGATGCTTGTTTTACGGATTTTAATTTATCTTTTTATTTTTGCCGTGAGCCATGCAAGGCACGTTTCCAAAACTACTGACATTTGTAAGACGTTATTAAGTGAAGACTTAGTAAACGAAATTGCATCTTACGAAAATGTAAAAGATGAGATTCTTAAATATGTGATGGAGGGAGATTTTAAGCGTAAAACTTATGATGAGTAAGTACATAAAGACTTATAGGATCTCAAGTATAGTTTTTTTTTTAAATATTTCATACGTTAATTTTTCACAAAAGCAATGGATATACATATTGTTGTATAATATGGAGATTTTTGTCAATAATTTTACTATTATTTAAAGGAAAAGTAATGTTGTCTAATGCCGTTCCAAGATAATATAAGTGTTTAGTGATACTTTTTTTTTACAGATTAGCTAAATTCGTAGATAAATTTGGAGCCCGTCCATCAGGTTCTAAAGTTTTAGAAGAATCTATAGACTATATGATTCAACTTACCCAAGATGAGGGTCTTACTGACATTACCTTAGAAAACGTAGAGGTATTTAACAAATTAATTTTAAAAATATTTAGCATAGACATATTACAAATTTAAAATTTAATCCATTTTTCTGTTATTAGGTTCCACATTGGGTCCGAGGGAAAGAATTTGCTACGATGCTCAAACCCAGAGAAAAAAATATTGCACTATTAGGACTTGGAAGGAGTGTTACTACTCCAGAAGAAGGAATCACTGCCGAAGTTGTTGTTGTGTCCAGTTTTGAAAACTTGGATGCTGCAAAATATGAAGATATCAAAGGCAAAATTGTACTGTACGATCCAATTTTCACAACCTATGGCGAAACGGTGGTTTATAGATCTCAAGGTGCTACAAAAGCAGCTGAAAAAGGAGCAGTAGCAGCACTAGTAAGATCAATAGCTCCGTTTTCTATAAATTCACCACACACCGGCTCTCAGACGTATGGTGAGAATGTAACACAAATACCAACTGCTGCAATAACTCTAGAAGATGCTGACTTGATAAGAAGATTATACAATAGAGGAGAAACTATCGAATTAAACATTAAAATGTTCTCAACATTTGATATTCAAACGTCACGAAATACCATAATCGATTTAAAGGGTATTGAAAAGCCAGAGAAACTTGTAATTGTATCTGGACATATCGATAGTTGGGATGTCGGACAAGGAGCTATGGACGATGGAGGCGGTCTATTTGTGAGTTGGGCAGCGCCTGTAATTCTTAAACGTTTAAATTTACGACCAAGAAGAACTATTAGGTCTATTTTCTGGACAGCTGAAGAACTGGGATTAGTTGGCGCATATGCGTACGAAAAGGAGCATAGAAACGAGATGACTAATATTAATTTTATAATGGAGTCTGACGAGGGGACTTTTGCACCTCTAGGTTTGGCCGTTGCCGGTACCCAGGAAGCTAGATGTATCGTTGCAGAAATTTTAAAGTTGTTTGAATCTATAAATGCGTCTGCATTGATAGAGGATGATAGTCCTGGATCAGATATTGCTGTAATAATTAGAAATGGTGTCCCCGGTGCCAGCCTCCATAACGATAATGAGAGATATTTCTGGTTCCACCACACAGAAGGTGACACCATGAATGTCGAAGATCCGGACGAGTTAGATCTTTGCACTGCATTTTGGACTGCGGTTTCGTACATAATTGCAGATATTTCCGTAGATATTCCGCGATAACATAAATCTTGTCACAGTTTTCTTTTGTCTTCATGCATACGTAATTTATGAAACTGTTATATACAAAGATGATACATAAAACAGTGTTTTATTTAAGCGTAACCTAAGAAGATATTTCAATTGGAGTGTGGTAGCTACTGCCTAGCTAAAGAGTAACATAAAATAATAATATATTTAGCTGTTAGATTGTAAAAAGAAAAAAATAATGATATCAGTAAATTTACTGTTTTTAAATAAACAATTTCTTTATTATATATAAAATTTAAGATTGGTCCTTTAAAAGTACAAAGAGCTTTAAATTTAGAGCTCCTTGTTCGTGAATTTTTGCGCCGAAAATCTATCTGGCTCGCGTCCAACAATCGAAGTTTCCATTTGGATGCAAATATTGGACCAATACTTTTTGGCTAACATAAACTCAGTCACGTTGGACATAAAATATCGTAACAGTTTGAACATATCTTAGAGAGTTTCAAAATGAAAGGTGAAATAGTAAAACAGAATTACTCGTATATCCACTTTTGGGGGCTTCAAAAATGTAGTTGGAGTTCACGAAAATTCGTTTGTTCACGTGTGACGGTTAGTTTGTGTATTGCCGGCGGCGTTTCCACAAATCGTAGTGCTCTTTTGTTTCTTTGTAAAACGAAAATCACATACTTTCTCTGTTGTTTATTACACCCAAGACATTCTTGTTTATCATTGGTACTACATTTACATATTTACTCTGTATGTATTACAACTTTTTGTCGCTTGTTAAGTTATAAATTATGTTTGATTAAACAAATTGATATACAATCGGTGCAGCCACCGGACGAATATACGTGAGTGTTTAGCCGTTTTTGATATAAGTTTGATATACAATAGGTATGAAATACTGATATGAAGTACATTCATGAATACGTTTTCAACATGATTTACGACATAGTTGCGCTCCAGTGCCTGTATATTGCCTGGGCAGAATTATATACGCGATTTTGGATATTGGAAACTGGGAAATGTGAATATACGGGTAAGCATTATTATTCATATGGTCTTAACAAATTTATTACCGAGTTTGTTATTTTCGTAAACAGTAATATTTATAATCCTTACATTGATATGAACATGTATATTATTTATGTTTAATCTATTTCTAAAAGTAATTAATAACAGTAGTACTACTACTGAGTAATCTCGTATTAAAAAAATTCTAACCTTTTAAAACTACATTATACCAAAATAAAAAATATAAAATTCAATATTATGTTTACTACGACTATTATTATTATGTTAACTGGAGTAAAAAGTTAATTTAATCACGGTTCAACGCTTAATCATCGTTTAAGGAACAATTAATAATACCATAATAGAAAACGACGATCGTCAGCGAAATGAAAATTGCTTGCCAAAGGATTTAGGTTAGGGCATATAAGCATGTTAAACGCCTACCGTATTGGATCGTGGCCTTAATTCTAAATGAAATAGCGCCAAGAATATTTAGCTCATCGATAATGTTTTATCAATATTAAGTTTTTTATAATTGACACCTTGGAAATATAGAAGAAATACTCTTTAAAATTAAAAAAAAAATCTGTTCCTTTTATAAATTATTTAACGCGTGTAGCAGATGATACTTGAGGAACATACAGTTTTTGTTTCTTAACGTAAATAAGAACTGACTAAGATTTTCTCACTTCTTAATTACACAAATATCCTTTACTCGTAGTACTATTATATTTAAATGTGATAAACATTTAATACCTAGCAGAGCTTTGAAGATACCAATAAGGTAAATGTACATTTAAGAGGTAATATTTCATCTAATCTAAGAAAATGCGTACCAAATAAGTGGTGAAAATCGCGTAATGTGCACATACGAAGGGAAGCATTTATTCATGCGGGCTTTGGTTAAATTTATAGCTTGTCAGAGTAATCGTAAGGGAAATATATATCTTAACAAGGGAAATACACTTTAGATTATTTCATACGAAAATTTACGAAATAATATCTAGAAAAGACTTTGCCAATTTTAAAAGTTGTTTGTTGAGTTAGTAATAAAGGCAGAATTATGAATTTAGTATATGCTTCATCGCTATGAAAGACATGAAAAGGTTTATTAGTAAAATACTTTGAAAGTTTAGCATTTCTTTGGAAGTATTTAAAGCGTAGATGATTTCAATTGGCAAGGAAGTAAGTAAGAAAACATGATCATCATCAGCTCATTATACGTCTCCACCGAGGTGCTCGGAACCTACCCTGAGTTAGGGTTGACTAGGCATAGTCAACCACCCTTTTTTTTGTTTTTTTTTTTTCACTGGCCAAGTGCGGGTTGGTTGACTTCACACATATCTTTGAATTTTTACACAGGTATGTGCAGGTTGCATCACGATATTGTCCTTCTCCGAAAGAACGTCGGATAAATGTTCATATGAAATTGGAAATCGAAAAACACATGGCGGGATTCGAACCCAGCACTTGCAGATTACAAGTCAAGTGCGTAACTCCTGTGCCACCGGCGCTCTAATAAGTTCATAATAAGAAAATATATTTTAAGGAAATATTTTCTAAACATTAGCCTATATTTTTTACGCGAATATTAAAAGTTTCTCTTGAGTACACAAAGAGGTATTACATTTATTATATCACTAAAAGTATTTATTTCATGAAAGCATCTTTTGTCTAAAGTTTTTTTTTTTTTATAGTTAGCTACCAACAGAGTATTTCTATAAGCCTTTTCTTTGAAGTTTTTTTGGTCCTTCGAAAGGATCATTTAGTCATACTCAACTTTCTTAGAAAAATATTTTTGTTATTTAACAATGAACTAAAAATCCTTGTTGAAGGTTAGTGACAAATAAATGATTAGTATACAGTTTAAAATAAAGATTTAAAACGTCCACTCATTACTCTACTGTTCCATTCAAATAGTAAATCATATTTTGAATTAATAAAATATTGTAAATGATAGGTACTGGTTTCAAAACAAAATCTGATTATAATTAACTAAGAATCCAACTGCTATAAATTAAAATATACATATTAAATCTTTTATTCTATATATCTTAAATAGATACTAAATATCCCTATGAATTTATGAATTTCGGTCGGCTGCCTTGTCGCGGAGCCTTTAGGAAATAAAGTATTCAATATTCAAATGGCGGTCTCGTGTACTTTCCGTTCTTTTAATATTTAATAGAGGTCACCTGGAAACTGAAGTAAGCCAGAAATTATTTGATTATATTCGCTATAAGTCGCTACTATAGTACTACTTACTATATACTACTTTTGTTATTGTCTTGTTAAGAAGAAAATCCGAAAATGTGGCAGTGTATTGTCGCAACACTAGCCTTACTAAAATGTCGACGTTTATGTCCCCTCACTATTCATTCTAACACTGGACTTTGTAACGAAAGCACGTCATTCGCACCGTGTGATTCTAACTAAAACTGTCTAAAAGTACACATAAGTTTTTTAATAAAAGAGTTAGCCTAATTGAAAAAGATTAAGATAGTGCTTGTTTTCTAGCGATGGCTAATAAAAAAATTACAACAAAACACTTGAAAATAATACATGTAAAATAACGTCTAGATCTCGTAAATTGGTTACAGGATGGCAGAAGTCAGGTTAAAATATAATTTTACATTTGTGACTTTGCATTCATGAAACTTATAATTAAATCAAAACTATGTAGTCAAACTTCCGTTGAGAAACTTGCAGCATACAAGTTAGTTTTGACAACTAGCCTGTAGTATTAAATATTTGAAAGCTTGTTTAAAATTAATTGTTTTCATCTCTCACTAACGTGGACAGGTTGCGGTTTGGAAAGAAACATTCATAATAAAGTAATTAAGAATCAATGAAATGCGATAAATTAAAATGAGTAAGTGCAAGATTACTGTCATGATTTAAATTATTTTTAATTGTAAACTTGTAACATTTGGTGTGGTCTTCTGAGAACCCCGTTTAAAACGTATTGTTATCTCTGTTTTGTCAAAGATAATGACAGGGACGATGATATGTTTTATACAGATATTTTGTTCTCAGAAACGAACGTTCGATTTTTTTGAGTAAACTTTAAATTTTTAAAATATCATAAAGTTAAATATGTGATTCAACTTGTAATTATTTACAAACTTTAATACACGTAGCCCGTTGATTTATATCAAGACTAAGGGTGGTCTTAATTAAAGTAAATTATATAGGAACAGTTATTTTGCACGTGCGTCGCGTGTGGTTCACGTATTAATGTTGAACGAAATTCCTTCGCGTAATTAACTGTCGCTTAGTAAAATGTTTATTAAAGAGTTTTGTAACACTTGTAAGAATAAGTAATTAGATAAAATAATATAGAAGCCATTTTTACACGTGTAGTAACTACAAGAAATAAATGTTTGTATTTTCTGTAAGCTATAAATTTAATCGACACGAAAAACCTACAAAAGCTATCGGAATCGTTACAAATTAAGAACAAATGGCGCAAGTAAATTTATGTCCTAACCTCCAATTGGAAAGGGGAATGGAGAAAATTACACTGTAAATTAATACAATTAAGACTTTGCACATTTAAACTGCCGCAAAATATCTGGATTACGTTAGAGTGAACAATTATTTACTAAATTAGAATTAAGTAAATAATTGATGATTTGTGATAAATTAATGATTATAATATTAAATATTCTTATATTAAGTAACGTAATTATAATATTATGACTAATAATCATCAATTTATCTTTTTTATTTGCCCTAAATAATAATATAGCCATGTAAAACACGTATACAGGTCTGTTATAAATCTTTATATATATAATTCTTCTGTGAGTGTGTATGTCACTAAACTTCTCTCAAATGACATGGACCGATTTTGATGAAATTTTTTGTGTGTGTTCAAGGGGATCTGGGAATGGTTTAGATTCACAATTTTCATCAAATATTATCTTCATATTAATTTATTCAAATTAAAGACGTGTGGACAGGACAACGTCTGTCGGGTCCGCTAGTTAATTTATAAGAGTTAAGGACGTGATAAGTTCAATGTTTTAACTAAGCAATTGATTTAGTGATACCAGCAAAATATTGTTAAGCTTTATTAATTATCATTTGCCACTACCTTGTTTATGATTA